ATACAGAGGTTCTTAGCGAGGAATCATCCTCTTCCCGGCTTCTGGTGTGGTAGCCCAGGTCCTGTGACTGCGGCGTCAGATAGGGTACAAACCGTAGAGGTGATATAGAGAAGAAAGTACATCAGTCCCCTCCCCCACCCCCTTTCCCCAGACCCACAGAAAAGCGGAGGGCTCCATCCAGTGGGGACGCTCCTTTAGCCCAGCTCATGTGGAGTCTGAGAACACACTCGTGAAGGCGTGCGAACCAGTTTTTCATGCTTTTATGGAAAGCATGCACCTCCGCATTTTGGACAACCAGTGTCCGAATTGCTCGTTCCAATTCTCCATCCCACTAGTGCTCTGGGGAAGAGCTCTCTCTGCACATTGTCAGACACTGTGGGCTGTAGAGTGTGTCCCTCATCTGAAGAAATGACAGTCATCTGTCCACACTGGTCCAATCTTCTAGTTCTCTACGGTGCCCTGAGGGTTAGCCTGCTTCAAGTTAACACACTCCTTGCTTGCCTACTTAAGGCCCTTGATTTGTGACAGAATTAATTTGCTTCCTTTGAGATATGCAGACCGCTGGCCTTGGGGAATAAAGGGCCAAAATGTCCCCAGGCCACAGAGGCCAAGCAAGCCGATTTGAAGTCCCCTTAGCTTTCTGATGAGCCCAGCAATCTTTTAGCAAAATGTTTTTCTTTTTCAAGGTCACACGAATGACTTTACTGACCTCCCTCTGCTCCCCTGTAGACCTTGCCCTCCTTTTCGGAAAGAGCAGAGTATTCTCGAATGACCCCCAGGTACCAAGGAACCAAACCTTCTTGCACAACCCGCCCAAACTCCAGGCACCAAGGAACTCGAACTTCTTGCACAACTTCCAAGCTCCGAGATAACTCTGTAGCTGGCATCATCGAGTCTGCATGTAATCAAGAAATGTCACAGACCGCTGCACTCCCTTAACCCCTTTAAAAATCTCTGGGCCAGGTGGAAACCTGGGAGTTGGCCTTTGGACAAGAGTCTGCCTTCTCCCCAGGTGGCCAGCCTCCCGAATAAAGCTCATATTCCTTTCCAATAAAAGCGCATCTCTTGATGGGCAGCTGAACTTGGGTTTCGGGAACATGAGCGTGTCCTTCTGCCACGGGGTAGGCAGACCCGGTCCAGAGTCAGTGTCTATTCCTGTCACATCGCATCTGTAGTCCCCCTCCCCGACCTCCTCAGGGCTCCCAGCATCAGTCTCACTTGCCAGCTACCACCAGGTCCGGACCACCAGGGAATCTGCCATATAAGTATCTGCAGGCTCTGTCTCTTGTAGGCAGATAAGACAGCCCTTGTTGGCGTTTTGTGCCCAGAGGGTGCGAGGGGAATGGGTCTAGATCTAGCCCACATCTGCATTGTTGTAGAAATATCCATTCATCCAGGCGCCTGGGTGGCTCGGTTGGTTGAGTGCCCAACGCTTGATTTTGGCTCAGGTCATGATCTCACAGTTTGTGGGATCAAGTCCCACGTAGAGCTCTGCGCTCACAGCAGGGAGCCTGCTTGGGCTTCTCTCTCTCCCTCTCTCTCTCTGCCCTTCCCCTGGTATCTAAATAAATAAATAAATAAACATTTAAAAAGAAAAAGAAAAAAGAAATATCCACTCAGTGCACGACCACTAGAAGCAAGCATACAGCAATATTCGCTTGTTGAATCCAATCCCCTTCCAAATCTGGAAAGGGATTCTTCTGATGCACAACAACATGTCCTCCTTTTATGAACCCCTCAGATTCCCATAGTGATTTCTCTAGGGCTGTTCCTCCTATGGGCATCCCTTGATTAGGGGAGGTTTCCATTGCTCTTCTGACTGTACGTCCAAGCCATTGGCCACTGCCCATGGGCAGGGGCCTATTCTACTGTTCAAATCTTCCGTCATGCTAGGAAAACACCATGAAGTTCAGCCCACTGAGCTGACTTTTTTTTAACTTTCTTCAGTCAGAGAGGCTGTCTTCCAAACAGGATGCTCTCCACTCACCTTGGAACTTTGGTCCACAGACCTAAGCAGTACTTGGTCAATCAATTGAGAGCTGTTCATAGGGCACTGTCCAAGTGACACTAGAGTCCGGTGGCTTCTCTCATCGCTCCAAAGTCTCTCCTAGAAGAAAAGAGGCTCTCTCATGTCCCCCAGGCAGCAAGATCCCGTATAAATTATTTCCATTTTATTATGGAACTCTTGTGGGTACTGACATCCCCAGTAAAACATCTCTCCAACATCACCCAAGACATTATGGGTATTTCTGGTTTCTAGAAACCAGAAGGTCCATTAGTGAGAAGGACAGTTTCCACTGTTCCAATAGCAAACTCATAGGGATAGCAAGCTTTCTTCTCAAATGGGAATCCTCTGGTCCGGAGCCCCAGTTGTCATTACTGAGAGATGCTCACAGGCTTTTGCCAGGAGGTCCAGTCTATACTCCACATAGGGCAATTGCACAGAGAATTTGTACTACTGGCACTCAGCCTTCCATTCCTCACTGTGTGGTCTCGGGCAATCTTACTGGTTCCGGATTTACCACATCCAGTTAATATTGTGGCTGGAAGGGCAGACTCACATGCTTTCTGGTTTACAGTATGAGGTAGGAGAATCATTCCCCGCTCAGACACAACGTCCACCCCATAACACAACCAGGTGAGAAACACCACTATTGTGCAGGAATCCTGTTGAAACATTTCGACGACCATAATCCCACCAACCCTTGTATCTTCATGTTCTCTCAGTCTGATTGTAGCCTGCATCGGATGGATTTTCATACCCATGTCAACGAGGTCTGGAAACTCCTCCACCCCCTAACCATTTTAACCGCTCTTGTGCAAGAGACTTTGGGCTTCCAGGAAGAGGTTGAGCCAAGAGACCTTTTGTCAATCTTTGTCTTGATTAATCTGCCTAATGATTGCCTGAGGCGATTGCAAGGCAGGTTTCTCATTATCATCTTTGACTCTTGGCTTTTAAAATTTCTCCAAACTAAGGTAAATAGAACAAACTTGTTTGGGGCTCTTTAATGTTGGGAGGCCAGTAGGGGGTCCTTTTGGCCTGCCCAATCTTGGGTAGTACTATACTAAAATCTTTGTTTGAATTCCATCAATATCCATTTTATTCATCCCATTTCTTTTTCTTTTTTTTAACGTTTATTTATTTTTGAGAGACAGAAAGCAAGTGGGGCAGGGGCAGAGAGAGAAGGGGACAAAGGATCTGAAGCAGGCTCCATTGCTGACAACAGAGAGCCTGATGTGGGGCTCGAACTCACGATCTGTGAGATCATGACCTGAGCCAAAGTCGGACGCTCAACCGACTAAGCCACGCAGGCGCCCCTCATCGCATTTCTTAATAAGCACCTAACCAGCAAGGATGTGGGTGTTCATGTGGTAGGTCAAGGCCATTGTGGATGGGGCTGAAGTGTCAGCTCCTGTTCCAGGGGTTGTTGGTTGGCAAGCTACCCAGGAGCTTGCCAGATATGATTTGAAACCGGCCACCGTACAGAGGGCAAGAAGAGACAGAAGAGGCAGACTACTCCAGATTGGTAAATAGCAGGTTTAATAATGAGGGAATTTACGTTGGCTGTGGGGAAAGTCAAGTGGAATGCATGTTCCAGGGACAGGGGAGGGGGTTAGGAGCCTCTGATTGTCAACGTCCAGCTCATGGGTCAACCAACAGTCTTATCCTTTCTATAACCTCTTCCAACACGGGCTTGGGGGCACGGACTCTAGGCAACTCCATCAGCTGGGATCAGCATGGGTGAACACTGGGTGAGTCCTCAGTAGCAAAATTTGCAGGTGTCCCTGAGGGCCACATGGGCCACTTGAATCCTCATGGTGAAAGCTGCTGGAGTCTCCCTACTCTCTTTTTCTTCTGAAGTGGGATGGGTGGAGAGGGTCGGGGGTAAGTGCATCACAGCCAAGGAGATCCCTCTTTGGCAACAAACTCTGTAGAACTGGGGATGAGATTACACAGGTAAAATGCCTCCTATGCTTTTCTATGAGGCCTCGGGTTTTATGTTCCCCTGGGTTGCTATGCTTCTTGCTTATACTCCAGAGCTCTCTCTGAGCTATTTTCATCAGAGAGTAGTTAGTTGTTAAATCATTGTTTTGTGGAGACACAAGTGCTGCGACCTCCTAGTCCACCACCTCGCTAATGTCCCTGTGACTTTTTTAAAGAGATAAAGATGGTCCATGGGGAACAGGTGCAAGAGAGCTTCGTCTATATGGCATTGACTTTAGTTGGAGTGCTTTCATGGAGCTAGGTCAGTTGCGACAAGCTAGCACCCAAGGAAAACTAACTGGTTTCTACTACCATTCTAAAGGCACCTATGACTGCCCTTAATACTGAAATTTGGTTGAGACGGTACTCAGAGTACAGAAGTTACACAGGCAATGATAAGAGGTAGATTGTTGGGGTGCCTGGGTGTCTCAGTCGGTTAAGCGTCCGACTTCTGCTCAGGTCATGATCTCTCAGTTCACGAGTTTGAGCCCTGCATCAGGCTCTCTGTTGTCAGCAATGGAGCCTCAGGTTCCACTCAGCAATGGAGTATCAGGTTCTGTGCTGACAGCTCAGAGCCCGGAGCCTGCCTCAGATTCTGTATCTCCCTCTCTCTCTGCCCTTCCCCTGCTCATGTTCTGTCTCTCTCTCCCTCTCTTTCTCAAAAATAAACACTAAAAAAAATTTTAAAGGTAGAGTCTTTTTTTTAAGTTGATTTATTTTGAGAAAGAGAGAGAGAGAGAGACAGTGTGCACATGAGGGGGGGAGGGGCAGAGAGAGGGGGGGAGAAAGAGAATCCCAAGCTGGCTTTGTGCTGCCAGCACAGAGTCCAATGCGGGGCTCGAACTCACGATGATGACCTGAGCCAAGATCAAGAGACACTTGACTGAGCCACCCAGGCTATCCTGGATTTCTTTCTTCTCACAGAAAAAGGCAAATTCCTGGGCTCTGGTCCATTTAGACTTTGTTGACCCATGAAAGGCCTTTGGAAACATCTCTCAGTTGGTCAGGATTTGGATCATAGATCTTTCTCAATAAGGGTGGGTATGTCAGCCATATCTCCTGAACTGGGACACCTGGGGGAGAGGTACTGATCTAGATCATCATCCCCAGGTAAGGCATATAGTTGTATAAGTTGATCTATGTCATAGGGAATGGAGGCCCAAGGAGGATCAGGGTCCCCCAGACATATCTGTTGGAGATCATGAGGTGGAGAATCCCAAGACGAATTCCACTTGGAGGGACCAGCACCTGCAGATTGCACGCTATCAGGAGACTGAGGTAGTTCATGGTCACAGGCATCCAAAATGCTGGGACTCCCGGGATGAGTGTTTGCTGAAGTTACAGGTAAGGGAGGTTGCTCCTCTTTGATTGAAATCGTCTGGTTTGATGATTTTAGTGACGAATTTGAATCAGTTTGTTGCTGCTCTTTCTTCCTTTTCACGCGCTGGTTCTTAAACCAAGTCTAGGGAGAGAGGAGGTGAGCAGGTTAATACGGGGGGGGGGGTCTAAAGGGAAATCCTCATGTTTCTCAGGAATTAGTTTCTTTTGGCATGAGAAGGCTAGTGTCTCATCTCTTCATAGTTATCTGAACAAGGGACATTCCTTCTATCCTCTGCTGTCCTGAGTTCCAGAAGGCAAATGGAGTGTAAGATCATGACAGAGCACTCAAACCCTAGATCAGGAGGGGTTAAGGCAAGGTGCTTCTGTCTTGGTGGATGCTCAGCATTTTCAGACAGACTTCTGAAGACCAAGAATTTGGAGTGGGAGTCTAGCTTGGGGTGTCTTCGGGATTCATTCAGGGGTTCTCATACCCCAAATACTCTGTGGCAACTTAGTTGCAAGGCATCTAAATGACCGAATGGTCTGATTAGGGAGAATCTAGACATGAACAGGAGCTGACTCCAATGGGCTTATCTGAGATCCATCGCTGTGTAGCATTGTGGGTCTGGAGTCAGAAAGGTCTGGGTTCAAATTCTAGCTCTTATGTTTATAATCCTTGGAGGATTCTCTGCGAGCTTAGTGTTCCCTAATAAAATGGATGGTCATAAGAATAAAACTATAAGACATCTGTCTGCGCACACACCAGTTGTTCAATAAATAGGAATTACATGATGACTAAAGTGTATATGAAGCTCTGGGTTAGGTGTGCTGTGTAGACACACACTCAGGGACATACCTTTATCACGGATTCGTCTAGCTGAGTAGATGAAATAAGTTCCATCATGGTAACCCAGTCTGGGTACATGGTCTCTTCGAACACTTGTTTCAGTGCTTGAAGCTGTTCTGCACTAAAGTGTGTGCGCCTCCGGCGAGCATACCTTTGCTCTTCTGCAAAAGGAATAGACACAAGGCTTTCATTTAAAAAAAAAACAAAAACATTCAAAGATAAACTTCTTACCTGAGCCTGACCTGAGAGCCAAGAGCTTGGTCTTAAAAGTTGACTCAAATGGATAAAGAAGATGTGATTTATATATACAATGAAATACTACTTGGCAATGAGAAAGAATGAAATCTGGCCATTTGTAGCAACCGGGATGGAACGGGAGAGTGTTATGCTAAGTGAAATAAGTCAGGCAGAGAAAGACAGATACCAGATGTTTTCACTCATATGTGGATCCTGGGAAACTTAACAGAAGACCATGGGGGAAGGGAAGGGGGAAAAAAAGACACAGAGAGGGAGGGAGGAAAACCATAAGAGACTCTTAAATACAGAGAACAAACAGGGTTGATGGGGGACAGGCGGAGAGGGGAAAGTGGGTGATGGGCATTGAAGAGGGCACCTGTTGGGATGAGCACTGGGTGTTATATGGAAACCAATCTGACAATAAATTTCATTTAAAAAATTCAAGAGGTAAAAATATAGGGAAAACTCCAATTAATTAATTAATTAATTAATTATTTAAAAGTTGACTCATGGAACCCACTCTTCACCATCTTGCTGGGATTGCTCTGCACCACTGAAATTCTGTTTCCCCTATGCGAAAATGGTTCAAGCCTGGTTTAAGAGCAAGTAACTGTCCTAACTGTCCACTTGTTCTAGAGGAATATACTAGTTCTGGAAAGCAGTGTGGAGGTTCCCCAAAAAATTAAAAATAGAACTACCCTACAAGCCAGCAATTGTACTACTAGGTATTTACCCAAGGGATACAGGTGTGCTGTTTCGAAGGGACACATACACCCCCATGTTTATAGCAGCACTATCGACAATAGCCAAAGTATGGAAAGAGCTCAAATGTCCATCTAAGGATGAATGGATGAAGGAGATGTGGTATATATACACAATGGAGTATTACTCGGGAATCAAAAAGAATGAAATCTTGCCCTTTGCAACTGCATGGATGGAACTAGAGGCTGTTATGCTAAGTGAAATTAGTCGGAGAAAGACAAATATCCTATGACTTTACTCATACGAGGAATTTAAGATACAAAACAGATGAACATATGGAAGGGAAGCAAAAATAATATAAAAACAAGGAGGGGGACTAAACATAAGAGACTCTTAAACATAGAGAACAAACAGAGCGTTGCTGGAGGGGTTGTGGGAGGGGGGATGGTCTAAATGGGTAAAGGGCATTAAGGAATCTACTCCTGAAATCATTGTTGCACCATATGCTAACTAACTTGGGTGTAAATTAAACAATAAATAACAATGAATAAATAAAAACAATAAATAAATTAAAATGAATAAATAAATAAACCTATGCTAAAAAAAAAAAAGAATATACTAGAAACTCATAGCCAAGAAAAATGAACCAGACTAGTGGGAGAAAATATATCTTTCCTCGGGGTGCCTGGCTGGCTCAGTTGGTTGAGCTTCGGCTCAACTTTGGCTCAGGTCATGATCTCACAGTTTGTGAGTTCAAGCCCTGCGTCGGGCTCTGTGCTAACAGCTCAGAGCCTGGAGCCTGTTTCGGATTCTGTCTCCTTCTGTCTCTGCCCCTCCCCACTTTTGCTCTGTCTCTCTGTCTCTCAAAAATAAATAAATGTAAAAAAATAAAAAAAAAAGAAAATATATCTGTGAGGACAGTTGGAATAACATAGGGTAGTGACATGATTATCAACGTTAGATTCATTTGAGTTCATATGATTCATAGAGTATTTGAGACTCTGTTGCCCTAATCAGCCATAGACTCAGGGTCACTGCCATCTACACTGGTCGGCATGTGAGATCTTGAAGCTGATTTGGCCATTTATCAATGAGGCCAGTGAGAGGAGCAGGTATGGAGCTTAGTGACCTGAGAATGAATGTTGATTCTCCCATTTATTAGCTCTCTCTGGGAGTATCACTACACTTATATTATTTGCCCCTTTTCTCTACCAGTAAAATGGTCCCATAGTTCACTTGCTTTGGGGAAGAACTGAGTATCCAGAAAGCAAGTCTGTTAATTACAGCCTCTGTGTATAATAGGTGCAGAGTGGGAGTTGTTTTATTGTTTAAAATATAAATGTAAAACCATGGCATCTAGCAATATTCGATCCATTTTCCATAGGAGATTCTGTTTATGTTGGGGGCCCTTATTCTTCATATATATATATCTCTTCATACATAAAAAAAATTAATAAAATAGAGCAAAGAGTCTCAATTTCACTAGGTAATAAAGAAATGGAATATGGATCAAATATTAAGTACTATCTTGTATCCACTGCTGAAGATAGGACAGTGGGGGTGTACCTGGGTGGCTCAGTTGGTTAAGCATCCGACTTCGGCTCAAGTCATCATCTCACATTTCATGAGTTTGAGCCCCACGTCAGGCTCTGTGCAGACAGCTCATTGCCTGGGGCCTCCTTCGGATTCTCTGTCTCCCTCTCTCTCTGCCCCTGCCCCCCTTGTGCTCTATCTCTGTCTCTCTCTCTCTCTCTCTCTCTCTCAAAAATAAACACTTAAAAAAAAATTTTTTTAAAGAACATGGAAAAACAAAAACTCACGGTACACAGTAATGGTGGAATCCAGTTACAAAATGTGTTCCAATGCTTCCTGTTGGTATAACCCAGTGGTTCCCAAAACTGACCACTTGGTGTTGGCAAGATGCTACCACAAAGTCTCACCATCTTGCCTCGGCCTGTCCACAGCCCAACTGCTCAACCTCTAGCACTGCAAGCATTTGTTGCCCTTGCCCCAGCTTACCTGCCATAATATCCTTTTGAAATGCAAGGACTCCTTCTGTCGTGCATTTGCTGAACTCCTGAATTCAGTCTATGTATCTGCTGGGTCTGAGGACTCCCATTTATACAAAATTTTGACGTAGTATAGTCCCTGCCCTACCCCGCCCTAATGTCACACCCTCTGGTAATCCATTCAACACGTGCTCCTTGAGAACCTGTTCTGTGCCCCATGCTGTGCAGGGCCCTGGGATAAAGCGGTGATTCCAGACTTCATCTCTGACCTCAAATGGTGGAGGAAAACAAATGGAAGTCAAAATGGATAAAATGTTCAAAAATTTCACTCTGGGAAAAAGAGAAAACACGCAGGATACAGAGAGAAACAGTAAACTGGGAAGGCAATTGAATCCAGAAGGTGAAGGATGGGCTCTGTGCGTTGGGCAGCTACTGGTGAGACCTCGCAGGGTGGGGATGAGGTTCCGGGGATGGGAGGTGCATGGGGAAGCCCCTCAAACAAAGCAGCAGCAGGCAAGGGTCAAGATGTTGGCAGAGCCTAAATGGTAGACATTCTTGTAACTTCTGTTAGAGTTTGGATTTGGGATGGTTGAAAGCCCAGGGAGAATTCTGAGCAAGGGACCTTAACTGATACATTGCATTTTAAAAAACTTATGCCTCCTGGGGTGCCTAGATGGCTCAGTTGGCTAAGCATCTGACTCTTGATTTGGGCTCAGGTCATAATCTCACAGTCCATGGGTTTGAGCCCGCATCCATCAGTGCAGTTGAAGCTGTTAGCGCAGAGCCTGCTTGGGATTCTCTCTCCCCTGCCCCACCCTCTCTCTCTGCCCCTCCCTGATCTCTATCTCTCTCTAAAAACAAGTAAACTTTAAAAATATCATGCCTCCCTCTTGCCTCTTACCTTCCCTTTCCCTGTTTCTCGGTTCTGCATTTTCTTCACCTCTCAGGTGACCTATTTGCAACTTATTTATTCCTCCCCATGGTGTTCTTCTCCAAGACAGGCCTTATACATAGGGGGGGTCTCACCTGATAGGAGAATTGGCTCTAGTTCCTAGTCATCCGCCCTGGAGGCCCCGCACCCATTGTGGACCCAACATCTCTGAAGTGGAGCTGGGACTCTGGCCCTGGCCCATCTCACCTGCCCCCCACTCCACCCTCATCCCTCATCTCCACATGCTCATCAGCCTGGCTTGGAGAGGTCTTGAAAGAGCCCAAGAACACTGACTCTGGAAACATTGTCAGTAGCCCAAAACGATTGAAGCACCCAACTGTGTCTCATACAAGAAGAAAATTCAGGGAACCTTTTTGAAGTGATCAATGGTAGAAACACCTTCCAAATATCTATTCAAAAGGGTAAAAGCAGGCCTTGAATTTTCCATGTAAATTTTAGAATTGATCCCCAGAATCTCCTTGAGAAGCCAATGAGGATAAAAGAGCGTGATGGGGGCGCCTGGGTGGCGCAGTCGGTTAAGCGTCCGAC